AGTCGGCAGACGAGGCAGGCGGCCTTGCCCGGCCGAAGATCCACCTTCGGTAGGTCCGCGGCGCCCCTCACCGCGGCGTCGGGGCTGGGCGCTGGCGGCGGGTTTTGGCGAGGGGCAGTCAGGGTTTCGGCGGGGATAGCACGCGGCAGGGTAGGGAGGATCATTACTGTCGGCCCTTATTGATTTTTTTTTTCGTTCCCTCCTCCCGCTTCTTGCTGGCCCGATCCTGGGGAGAGCAGCGCGTTTCTGCCCCGTTTCCATCCCCGGGACAGCTCTAGAAAGAAGAGGAAGGAGAAGAAAAGTTTTGTCAAGGCAGGAAAAGATGGTCCGACACTAACGGCAGGCTGGTCCGGGACAGAGACAGGGTGTATGTGTGTATATGTTACACGAAGGGCAAAGAACACGTTTCAAAGCAGAGCAATTCCCCCGGAGGACAGGGGAATGGAGACTGTTCAACCCCTTCCCCCCAGCGATATCTCCTTCCCACAATATCGACTTTGTGCCTGTGCTTCAATACTTACCCTTGTGTTTAAATTAGCAGGGCAGATTTATAGCTCCCTCCCTTTTAAGTAATTTATTGTGGTAAATTAGTTTATATTTGAACAGACTCTCGGTCTCCTAATTCGCCTTCACCCAAACAGGTCCCCAGCTGCATCAGTCTGCGGCCTTTGGAGAGACAGTGAAACGCGCTCAGGCGTTGAACAATAAAACCCACTTCAATTCGTTTCCATCCACACCGGAGAGTCCTTTTAAATCAAGTCCCGAGCGAACTTTGTTTGCTTGGATCTTGATTTAAAAGAAACCCGTGTGCAGGGTTTATTACCCCGGGGCATTTCGCCGTCTTTCTCCGGCCACGGCTGGAAAAGTCCTCTAAAAGCCACTTCAAGATCTCAGAGGCGTTATCATCTTTACCGCGCTGAACCGAATTATCTTATCTTTACCCCAAGAACAAAGTAAAGTAGCGAAGCGGCCCCTAACCCAGCCAGCGCCGCCCCGACCAGGGGCCAGGAGCGGCTACTTCCCAGAATTTCCCCTTTGTGTCCA